TTCCAGTATTAGCTTATCTTCTGTTTTCCAGTATTAGCTTATCTTCTGTTTTCCAGTATTAGCTTATCTTCTGTTTTCTGCAGTACTGTGTACTGATGCCACAGTTTGCTGTTTGTCAAATAAGAGTTTAAAATTACTAGGAAAGTGGCATTTCCCCTTTATTTAGAATGCACCCTTACTCAGGCACTGAGTTACACTTTTGAAAGGAATATATAACGTATGTTCTGTTTTAGCAAAATCTGACCTTGTCCATTTAGCTACTGCAAAAACTTGGAGTAAAAGGACGAACTGATAGATTACTAGTGTGATACCGAACAGCTGTGAGGAAAAAAGCTAAGTCAAATAATGTACACATGCAAATAAAACCTGCATGACTAAATATTGCCTGACTGGCACGTTTTAAGTTTACAGAAACATAATTTGAAAAATTACAGTAGCAGAAACTTTTCTCTGTGGACTGTGCAAATAATGAATATTTTTGCATCTTATTCTGTAAGTAGGATATATTAGTGATATTTTGTTAAAAGCACTTTAAGTAACAACTGGATCTGCTAAGAAGATCAGGTAATAATTTGAAAATAATCAGAGGACTTTGGAACCATCCAAATTACTTTTTGACTAAGAAACGAAATTAATCATGCTATCATCTCTCAAATGAAAAAATCAAAAGGCTAAGATGCTTGAAAGGGTACCTTCTCCATGTTTGTCAGTGTACTGGAATGCTTGAACCAAACGCAGTGTCTCATCCACTGACCTACCAACAGGAAGGTCATTCAGAGTAATCTGCCTTAGGACTCCTTTGTCATCAATAATGAAGAGACCCCTGTAAAACACAAGAGTGGTACAGGTGAGGTCATTTCATCTCAATTAAGACAAACATTAGTTAATCTGATCCCTGTGCTGTCCACATGGAAGGATGTTCTACACAACCAACAACACACTACCTACCTGCTTGACTGGTGTACACACACACACACACACACACACACACACACACACACACGTGCAAATACACCCCTGTCCCCATACGCAAGCTTATCTGCTGTATAATTTGGGATTATCATTGTCAAATGATAGCTTTAAAAATTTGTTTTTTTCTATGCAATGTACTGTTGTACTTCCATTTAAAGCTTCACGAGTACTAGGTTTGGGATTTTATTGCACTGTTAATGAAACGATGAATCTACATAGCAAAGTCTTCCTCTGGGTGAAAGAGTGATCCATCTTTCTTATCACTGGCTGTTTAGAACACCTTTGTATTTCCTTTTTCAGAGGTGGAAAAGACAAAGTCCCAATACAAGCGAAGTTACCTTTCCCTCTAAATCTGTGTATGTGTGATTCACTTTTTTGGCCTAGGGAATAATGGAGTAGTTTCACCTATAAGACCTGCTGTTGAGATGGAGTGGCATTGCAAGAGTTAAAGCAGACCAGAGGAAAAAAAAATTTCAAAAGGACTTTACTGTCTTTATTTCAGTCAATATGGATTTCAACCCAATATTTGGTTTAGAAAAAGATCTCATACTAGGGCTAACTGCTTGCATACAAGTATTATACATAGTAATGAGATTTATTTTTAATAGAAATACATGGAATTACTTATCTATTACGTGAAATTTTTTTTAAAGATTTTATTTATTTATTTGAGAGA